TTCCAGAACACGGCCACACAGCCCGGAAGACCCACACCAGCCAAAATAAATAATGTTGATTTAAAACTATTAACTTAAACTACAACAGATCATACGAATCATCATAGCTCTATTTAACGTTGTGATATCACATGCATCAATTTTAGTGAGTGAAATATTTCACACAGAGATTTCTGTGTAGATTTGATTGAGGGTTCTTCACTAAGTTTTTTTTTTTCTACAGCAACAAGCTTGTGAGGTAAGCTGGGCTAAGGAAGAATCAATGGTTTAAAGTCACCCAGTGAGCTCAGTGGTCAAGTGAGGACCTGCACATGGTCTCCTCAGTCCAAGTGCAATATTTTAACTACTACACTCACTGGCTCTTCTGTTCTTAACTGTAATGATGTCATTTCTGTGAGCAATTGCTTCTTTACTCTCCTCGTTTTGACTTTTCTTAAGCTACAGTTGCAGCCTCTGCCAAATGTGAGGGAGGAGTAAGCGAAGAAAACCACAAACCTCAACTTACAAGAAGATATTGCGATGCAAATATGAACATTCTACACTGAGGTTAATTATTGTCTTGGGTAATAACAAGGGAACATTGCATAGGCTCAGCAATGTGTTGGCTGGGTGGGGGGAAAGGGGTGTTCTAACACTGTGCTTATGTGTATTTTCTGGATGCATCCCTAGAGATATTATTTATTATTTACTCATTCTTAATTTGGCAGGCATGACTGAGAAAATCTGTGCCTCAGCGGAATAAATTCCATCTGTCTCCTTGAAGTGCTGCCTGCCCTCAACAATTACTGTTTTCTTAAGTTGGAAACTTGCATGAGATACAATAAACTGCATACAAAAGCAACTGCTTGTTGTCTGGCTCCCCCACCCCCTCCTTCAATTCTGTCCTATTTGCCAGCTTTAAGGGGACAAACAGGGCTATTTTGTTTCTAAAATTAAATTTCCTATGCATAGCTGAAAGCAAAGAGAGCAGGAAATGCTGAATAATATGCATGGCTTCTTTTATCCTACAACTTCAATTTTTTGCATGCAGTACAGAGTTTATTATTTTATACAGTGAAAAGCTTATCAGATTTTTTTCCCATGCCACAGCCTGCCCCTATATTCTTCTCCATAGCAGTGCCAAATTTATAACCTGGTAACAAGAATGCAACATCCTGCCCCCCAAATCATTGGTGAATGCCCTTGAAGACCCTCACAAAGTTGCTAAAAAATTGCAATATTATATCTCAAAGAAGATTATGAAGTACACGAACAGTATTCCTACTACCTGTTTTAATAACTTAAATCAATTTTAGTTTTTCATTAGATACAATGATTTTTGGGGGTGTCTCTCCAACCATACTATTCAAAACAGAGATGCAGTTCTTAGCATATAAATGACTGGTTTTCCAATTCTTATACACACAACTGAGTATCAAGAATTTGGCTAAGTCTCTATGCAGATTAACAGCACAATTAACAATGCACATATCTTTACTCAGAAATACGATCCATTTAATTCAAAGAGCCTTTCTACCAGGTAACTGTGTATAGCACAGATGCTTTATAAGCATGATTTAAACACTTTACTGAACAGAACATAATATTGTACTGTACAGAATTCCGTGACTAAATCCTTATCCTATGTTCCCTCTTCACACAACTCATCATGGAGGATGAGAACTAAAGTGCATGTCCTGACTTCACTTCCTTCACTCATCAGCCCCCTTCACACATAGTGTGAATGTAGCATGTGTGTATGTAGCATGGAACTTTCTCAATTCATGTAAGTTCTTGCTGTTATTTAGAGCTCTGATCTTTATTTCTGAATTGCGTGGGTAGCTGAGATAACTACAGAACTCCCCTGATGTAGATATTCCCTTTCAAATACAGTCAGGTCCAGAAATATTGGGACATCGACACAATTCTAACATCTTTGGCTC